TCGTGTTGTAATGTTTTTAGTTTTGTCTTCCACTCCTTTTTTGCCTTCTCTTGTTATAATTGAGCATTTTTTATTATTCCATTTACTCTCTTCTCTCAGCATATTAATTACACTTCTTTTAATAATTTTCTTAGTGGTTGCTCTAGAGTTTGTCATATACGTTGGTAACTAGTCTAAGTCCAGTTTCAACTAATACTATCCTGCTTCACAATAGTTTGCATACCTTATGACAAAATATTCCCAATTCCTCTCTCCCATCCCTTAAAATATTGTTGTCATTCATTTCAATTATCCATAAGATGTAATCTGACTATATTCTTTCTATTATTATTTTGAACAAATTGTTATCCTTTAGGACAATTAGGAATAGGAAAAATAAAATTTCTTTTGACTTCATTTATTTCATTCTTGAATACTCTTCCTTTCTTCATGTAGATCTCGGTTTCACACCTGTATCATTTTCCTTCTCTTGAAGAACTTCTTTTTAACATTTCTTACAAGGTAAGTCTACTGTTAACAAATTCTCTCAATATTTATTTATCTGAGAAAGTCTTTATCTCTTCTTCACTTTTGAAGGATTATTTTGCTGGATACAAGATTCCAGGTTGGTGTGTTTTTTCCTTCAACACTTTACATATTTTACTCCACTCTCTTCTTGCTTATATGGTTACTGAAGAGAAGTACAATGTAATTCTTACCTTGTTCTTCTATAAGTAAGGTATTTTTTCCTTTGGTGGCTTGAAAGATTTTCTTTTTGTCTTTGATTTTCTGAATATGATATGCCTATGTGTAGATTTTTTCATATTTATTCTGCTTGGTGTTCTCTGAACTTCCTCATTCTGTGATTTGGCATCTGTCATTAATTTTGCAAAATTTTAAGCCATTATTATTTCAAATAGTTCTTCTGTTCCTTTCTCTGTTTCTTCTCCTTTTGTTATCCCATTATTCATATGTTACATCTTTTGTAATTGTCCCACAGTTCTTGAATATTCTGTTCTTTTTCTTAATTCTTTTTTCTCTTTGTTTTTCAGTTTGGAAAATTTCTACTGACATTTCTCCAAGTTCATTGATTCTTTCCTTGGCCATGTCTAATCTACTGATGAAGGCATTCTTCAAATGCATTCTTCATTTCTATTAGAGTGTCTTTTTTATTTCTAGCATTTCATTTTGATTTTTTCTTAGGGTTTCCATCTCTCTGCTTACATTACCCATCTGTTCTTGCATGTTATCCACTTTTTATATTAGAGCCCTTAGCATACCAATCTGATTGTTCCAAGATTTGTGCCATATCTCAGTTTGATTCTGATGCTTGCTTTGTTTTTTCAGATTTTTTTCTTCCTTTAGTATGCCTTGTAATTTTTTATTGAAAACCAGATAGGTTGTATTGGGCAATGGAGCTGAAATAGGCCTTTATTGTGAGGTTTTATGTGTATTTGTCTAGCAGTTAGACTGTGTTTAATGTTTGCTGTAGTCGTAGGTGTCAGAGACTAAAATTTTCTCTAATGCCCTTGCTTTTTTCCCCTCAGTTGTCTTTGGCTTCCTTAGAGAATCCTTCTTATATACGGTCTGAGATTTAAAATTGTTTCAGCTGTAATCTCCTATTATTATATAAGATCCTGATTGATGTGGTAAAGTGTGGGGACAAGGGGAATTTTTAGTCTTATGATTAGGTCTCAGTCCTATAGTGAGCCTGTTATCCCTGGGCTGTGACCTTCGTAAGTGCTTCATAGCTTTTTTCCTCCATTAGGTGATGCAGGAAAGCTAGAGGGAACTGGAGTTAAGTATTTCCCTCCCCTCACATTGAATGCTAACAGAAGCTGGAGTTTGGTATTTCCCTTCCCTAAGGTTGATTAAGCTCTGGTAAAACCCAATTCACTTAGGCTCTCGTAAAATAATTTTCCTTCAGGATAGCAGGCATTTGTTTGGGAGAACAGAATGCTCTAGGCATATTTCAAGTGGTTACTTTTCCCTTTCCCCTACTAGAAGTATGAGGAGATATTTCTCCAGTCTTCACCTTGAGAACTTGGCAGGACTCTTGAAAGTAAAACTTACAAAAGGGTGGAGGCCCCTCTCAGGGGGACCCCTGGAGTTTTTAACTCTGAAGCTAGTTCACACTGAGCCTCCAGCAATTCATTAATTACTGTATAAATGTTCCTTCCAGTACTGACTCCAGTATTGCAAAGAACACTTAAACATCCCGAGAGCCCACTGGGACAGTGGGCTTCTGTTCTCAGTAAACTGTGATCTCAGTATCCACTTCTCTCTCTAGTTTTTGAGGCACTGGGTTGTCCTGTGACCTCAGTTCTCTGACAGATCTAAGAAAAGATGTTGATTTTCAGTTTGTTCAGCTTTTTTCTTGTAATGACAATGAGAGTGACAACTTTCAAGCTCTTTACATGTCAGACTAGAAACTGGAAGTCTCAGTTTTATTGTTTTTTGAGTGTTCATTCATGCTACTGAACACATCTTGTTGGAGATTATCTTAGTCATAAGTCCCCTTGTCACAGGGCCATGTAGGTGTCATAATGTTCTCTTTAGAAAAAACAGGTTTGTGGGCCGGCCCGGTGGCTTAGCGGTTAAGTGCACGCGCTCCACTACTGGCAGCTCAAGTTCGGATCCTGGGCACGCACCGACACACTGCTTCTCCGGCCATGCTGAGGCCACGTCCCACATACAGCAACTAGAAGGATGTGCAACTATGACATACAACTATCTATTGGGGCTTTGGGGAAGAAAAAAAGGAGGAGGATTGGCAATAGATGTTAGCTCAGAGCCAGTCTTCCTCAGCAAAAAGAGGAGGATTAGCACGGATGTTAGCTCAGGGCTGATCTCCCTCACAAAAAAAAAAAAAAAAAAAGAAAAGAAAAAACAGGTTTGAGAACAGCTTTTTTTCCTTATCTTTCTTACAAGTGTGAGGTATAACAGAAACACTGTCCAATATAGTTTTAGCTCTTTTATTTAGGTCTTTCATCCATTTGGAGTTAATCTTTATATATGGTATGAGGTAAGGACCCGATTTCATTCTTTTGCATGTGGCTTTCTAGCTGTCCCAGTAGCATTTATTAAAAAGAAATTTTCACCACCAAAAGTCTAGTTTCCATCTGTCACCATACATATGTGCCCTTTTACCCCTTTCACCCTCCCCCAACTCTCTTCCCCTCCGGTAACCACCAATCTGTTCTCCGTATCTATGTGTTTGTTTATCTTCCACATATGAGTGAAATCATACAGTATTTGTCTTTCTCTGTGTGACTGATTTCACTTAGCATAATACTCTCAAGGTCCATCCATGTTGTCACAAATGGCATGATTTTGTCTTTTTTTATGGCTGAGTAGTATTCCATAGTGTATATATACCATATCTTCTTTATCCATTCATCCTTTGATGGACACTTAGGTTGCTTCCAAGTCTTGGTTATTGTGAATAATGCTGCAATGAACATAGGGGTGCACATATGTTTTCGATTTAGTGTTTTCATGATGCAGTCTATCCAGAAGCCAAAACATAATGATGTACACCTGAAATTTACACAATATTATAAACCAGTGTGACGTCAATAAAATAAATAAATAAATATATGAGTGAATAAAAAAAGAGGCTTTTTTTTCCCGTTGAATGGTCTTGATACTATTGTTGAAAATCAATTGAGCATAGATGCAGGAGTTTATGTCTGGACTCTCAAATGTATTCCATTTATCTATATATCTATCCTTATGCAAGTACCACCCTGTTTGGATTACTGTAGCTCAGTAGTATGTTTTTAAATCAGGAAATGTGATTCCTCCAAATTTGTTTTTTTTCAAGATTCTTTTGACTATTTGAGGCCCCTTGCAATTCCATGTGAATTTGTGGATCTGTTTTTGCATTTCTTCTAAAAAGACCTTTGGAATTTTTATAGTGATTGCATTTGTCACTAAGAATTTTTAGCAAGAACTACATAGTCTCTGTTCACTTTGTGAGGTTTTTCTTATTTAGTGGGTTACATTGTGAAAGATGTAAATGAAGCTGAGATTCTGGTGGTAAACACAAGATGGAGGCTTTTTAAGTTTCACCACTTGCATAGACTTTATCAGAGATCCACAACCACAATATTTATATGCTAGTTGGAAATAATTCATCATCATTAATCCTTGCAGGGAGAAATACCACAGAGTGAATGTTTGGGAAATGTTATTGTAGTTTGCTATTCAAAGGATGCTAGCAGTTATAGCATCTCTTCAAAAACTTTGATCATATTGCATATACTTTTCTGTACCTTTTTAAAAATTACAAATAGCTTTTTCTAGGAATAGAGAGGCTAGTCAGGACTTAGGAAAAGAAGGGCTGTTGCTACTTCTCAAAGTATTCAGTAGACATTAGGGAACATATTAAAGTAGTCAGTAATCATACTCTTGTAGACAGTTTGCTGATTTTTTTCCACCCACTTTGTTTTTATCTGCCACTGTTATCACAAAATAATATTTCTGAGTTTACCTTTCCTTTCTGAGCAGTAAACAAGCTTGAGGTGTTTAAGCCTTGAAAATCGGCCTTGATGCTATTCCCTAAATTCAAAGTAATCCCCTTAAACTCCAGCAAGGTCTTATTAGCTGTTGTCTCATAGCCTTATAATTTGGGGCATACAACAGTAGGGTTAGGGCAGGGTGAATAGGGACTTTGTGATGTACTCAGTATCAATATTCTCAACAATTCACCTAGGTTATTCCCTAAAGAACAGTTTTAGTATATTTCTCTACTGCTTAAAATCAGAGACCACTTTTCTTAGTTTCCTATTGCTCCTGTAACAAATTACTACAAATGTAGTTGCTTAAAACAACATGAATTTATTATCTTAGTGTTCTGGAGTTCAAAAGTCCAAAATTAGTCTCACTGGGCTAACGTGAAAGAATTGGCAGGGCTGGTTCCTTCCGGAGGCTGTGAAGGGAGAATCCATTTCCTTGCCTTTTGTGAGCTCCTAGAGTCTGCCTGCATTCCTTGGCTCATGGCCCTTCCCTTGCATCACTCCAACCTTTGATTCTGTTGTCCCATCTCCCTCTTCTGTCTTTGACCCTCTTGCCTCCCTGTTTTAAGGACCCTGTCCTTACATTGGGCCCATTTGCCTAATCCAGGATACTCTTCCCACCTCAAAATCCTTAACTTAATTACATTAGCAAAGTCGCTTTTTGCCAAGTAAGGTAACATACTGATAGGTTCCAGGGATCAGGACATCGACATCTTCGGGAGGGCATTATTCAGCCTAACACACCACTTACAGTAAAGGCAGTGGTCACTGAAACAGTAAAGCAAGTTTCAGATGGCTAAATGCTGTGGTAAAACAGGCTATTCATATATTTTAAGTTTTTGGTATTATATGGACATCTTTGACAGACTTCCATCCAGTCATCACCATGTCATCATCCATGAATTCACAAAAGGGTATATTATAATAAAATGAAAACAGATGGGTGTCAAACTTCTCAGATTTCCTTAACAAAGTGGAGTTGTGAAATTTGACCATTCTGTAAATTTCACCCCACAATGAGCTATTAAACAACTTAGAAACCTGTCCGCTGGTGGAGTTCCTGTAAATATGATAAGGTTTCATTTTAACACTCTCTTTACCATGATAATCCTCTGTTATGGGCTGAATTGTCCCTTCCTCAAATTTATGTGTTGAAGCCCTAACCTCTGGTACCTCAGAATGTGATTATAGGAGATAGGGCGTTTAAAGAGGTGATTAAGTTAAAATGAAGCCATTAGAGTAGGCTCTAATCCATTTTGAATGTTGTCTTTATAAGAAGTGGAATTTGGAACACACAGAGAGGCACCAGACACGTATGCGCACAGAGGAGAAATGACATGAGGACACAGCCCGAAGGCCGCCATCTGAAAGCCAAGGATAGAGGCCTCAGGAGAAACCAAACTTGCTGACACTTTGATCTTGGACTTCTGGCCTCCAGAACTGTGAGAAAATATATTTCTGTTGTTTAAGCCACCCAGTCTGTGGTATTTTGTTATGGAAGTCCCAGCAAACTAATACGTCCTCAAACTTTTATTTATTGGCTCAGCATCTTACATAACCTTGGGAAAAAAGAAGCCTGGTACTTATGGTGAATGTACTGTATAGAATTTTGTGGAAGTTTCTTTAAAGTTCCAAACTTGATAAATCCTAGAAAACCTGTAGCCCTTTTTTCAGTATTATGTTCAATCCTAGTATGGTAGTGTATACATTAGCTTTCCGCCTGCTTTAGATGGCAGAAGAGGAAAAACAAAACAAAACGAAACACTGGGTGGGACACTTTCACCTTCGCCAACACAAAATATTATCTCCAACAAAATAATTAGTCTAAAGATTTTAATGGGGTGCTTCTTAGTCTCCTTGGTCAATGATAGAAACATATGAAAGCATAATAACTCTCCCAAGATAAACTTATATAATTTATATAGCCAACAAAAGAGACACCTCAGGATTCTGGAGGCATTTATATATTCAACAGATATTTACTGAACAATTATGTGCCACGCACTGTTCCTAGGTCCTGGGAATATAGCATAGAATAAAAAAGTATCATTTTCATGAAGCTTACATTTAGGGATGAAGGGAAATTGATAATAAGAAAGTAAATATATAAAATATGTAATATAATGTTAAGTAGTGACAAATGTTATGGAGAAAAATAAAACAGGGTATGAGAATAGAGGATATTGGAAGGGGTAATACTATTTTAGATGGGATAGTCAGAGAAGTTCTCTCTGAGCAAATACCGGAATGAAATGAGGGAATGGACCATGAAGCTATCTGAGGGAGAAGTATTCTAGGCAGTGGGAAAAACAAATGCAGAGCTCCTTGGGTAAGGGTGTGCTTGGCTTGTTTAATAAACAGCAAGGAAGTCAATGTGGCTCAAATGGAGTAAGCAAAGGAAGAGTGGCCAGAGATGAGTTTAGAGTGGTAGCCAGGGGCCAGATCTTGTGAGATACTGTTGGCCATGGAAAGAGGTTTGGACATTATTCTAAGTGTTCTAGGAAGCCATTAGAAGATTTTGACAAGGAGAGCAGTGTGATAGGACTTATGTTTTTAGGAGGTAAGCCTGGCTACTCTGTAGAGAATGGACTCTAGGGAAACAAGAAGGGAAACAGGGAGATCAATTGGAAGCTGGGAAGCAATTACAATGGTCTAGGTAAGAGATGATAATGGTTGGACTAAGGTGTTAGCTGAGGAAATGATGCTAAGTGTCCAGCTTTGGCATATATTTTGGAGGTAGAGCCAACAGATTTTGTAGAAGGATTGAATATAAAGTAAGAGAAAGAGAGGAATCAATGATGATTCTGATGTCAAGCAACCGAGTGAATAAAGATGTCTTTATTGAGATGGGTGAAGACTGGGAGTAGCAGATTTTAGGGGAAAGGTCAGGACCTCAAATTAGGACATGTTGAGTTTGAGATGCCTTCTATTTATACTCATGGAGATGAAGAGTAGGCAGTTAGATATATGAGTTTGGGATTTTTGAGAGTGATCCAGATTAGAGATAGAAATTTGGGAGTCATCAAGGTATAGATGGTATTTAAAGCCACAAGACTGGATGAGATCACTAAGGAATATAGATTGTGTAGGTAGTAAGGCAAGAAGTCCAAAGATTGAGTTCTGGGGCATTTCAATATTGAGATACATGAGATGATAATGAACTAGCAGAAACAAAAGTGAAAAAAAGTAAAGCTAAGAATGTACAATCAGGAGTAGCCAGTAAAGCAGGAGAAAACCCAGGAGAGTATGATATCCTGGAAGCTAAGTCAAGATGTTTCAAGGAGAAGGGAGTTTTCAACCCTGTCCAACACTACTGATAGTTAAGGTGATCAAATATCCCTATTTTTCGAGAACACTACTAGTTTATGTCTGTTGTACTGGAATAATTGTTAACAACACTCTTTTTCACACTCAGAAATGCTCTGATTTGAATGATAAATTATGTGGTCACTAGGATGGTAGGTCAAGATGAGGATTGAGAATTGATTATTGGATTTACCCATTTGGAGATCATTAGCAATCTTGACAAGAGCAGTTTCAATGGAACAATGAAACTTTGTTGGATATTGAGGATAAAAGACTGGAGTGGTTTCAAGAGAAAGGGAGGAGACAGTGTCAATATGGTAACTATAGACCACTGTTTTGAGGGATTTTGCAGCAAAGAAATCAGAGAAATGGGGTAGTAGCTATGGAATGATATGGGGTAAAGGCAGAATTTTGTTTTTAAGATAGGAGATAGTACAGCATGTTTGAATGTTGGAAATATTCCACTAGAGAGGGAAATTTTTATGATAAAGGAGAGAAAGAAGAAAATTTTGAAACAATGACCTTGAGTAGAAGAGATGGGATATCATCCAGTGGACAAATGGAGAGGCTGGCTTCAGATAGGAGCATGGGCAATTCATTCACAGAACATCAGAAAGGGCAGAATTTATGAGCACAGATGCAAGTGATGTGTAGATATGGTGGTAGGAGCCTGTGGAAGTTCTCTTCATATTGCTTTTATTTTTTAAATGAAATAAAAATAAGGTCATCAGCTGAGATTGAAGGATAGGCAGGAGACAGCTGGGTTTGAGTAGAGAAGAGAAGGTGTGATTTCTTTTTTATTATGGTAAAATGTGACATAAAATTTGCCATTTTAGCCATTTTTAAATGGACGATTAAAGTGGCATCAATTACATTCACAGTGTCTTACATTGATCACTACTATCTATTTCCAAAACTCTTCATCATATGTTACAAGTTGAATTTTGTCTCCCAAAAATAATCTGAGTCCTAACATACACAAAAATCAACTCAAAATGGATTAAAGACTTAAACATGCAATCTAAAACTGTAAAACTCCTAGACAAAACCATAGAGGAAAGAATTCTTGATATTGGTCTTGGAAGTTATTTCTTGGATATAGCACCAGAGCCACAGGCAACAAAAGCAAAAATAGACAAATGGGATTATATCAAACTTAAAACCTGGTGCAAAACAAAGGAAATAACAGAATGAAAAGGCGAATTACAAATGGGAGAAAATATTTGCAAACCATATATCTAAGGGGCTAATATCCAAAATATATAATGAACTCCTGCAAATCAATAGCAAAAAAAATAAATTGAAAAATAGGCAAAGGACATGAATAGACATTTCTCCACAGAAGACATAGAAATGACCAACAGGTATATGAAAAGGTGCTCAACATTACTAATCATCAGGGAAATGCAAATCAAAACCAAAATGAGATATCACCTTGCACCTGTTAGGATGGCCATTTAAAAAAAAAAAAAACAAAACATCACAAGTGTTGGCGAAGATGTAGAGAAAAGGGAACTTTTGTACACTGTTCATGGGAATGCAAATTGGTGCTGCTGCTATAGAATACAGTATGGAGTTTCCTCAGAAAAATAACAGTAGAACTACCATATGATCCAGCAATCCCACTTCTGGATGTATATCCAAAATATAAATTGAAATCAGGATCTCAAAGAGATTTCTGCTCTCCCTTGTTAATTGCAGCATTATTCACAATAGCCAAGATATGAAAATAACCCAAATGTCAATTGACAGATGAATGGATAAAGGAAATGTGGTATCTACATAGAATTGAATATTATTCAGCCTTAAAAAAGAAGGAAATTCTGCCATTTGTGACAACATGGGTGAATCTGTAGGACACTATGCTAAGTGAAATAAGGCAGTCACAGAAGGACAAATACTACATGATTCCACATATATGTGGTATCTAAAACAGTCAAACTCATAGATGCAGAGAATAGAATGGTGATTGCTGAGGGTTGAGGGCAGAGAGAAATGGAGAGTTGTTGAACAGGTATAAAGTTTCACTTATTGGGCCGGCCCTGTGGCTTGGTGGTTAAGTGCGCGCACTGCGATGCTGGTGGCCCGGGTTCGGATCCCGGGTGCGCATCGAGGCACCGCTTCTCCGTTCATCCTGGGGCCGAGTCCCACATGCAGCAACTAGAAGGATGTGCAGCTACGACATACAACTATCCACTGGGGCTTTGGGGGGAAAAATAAAATAAATAAAATCTTTAAAAATAAAGTTTCACTTATGCAAGAAGAATAAGTTCTAGAGATCTGCTGTACAACATAGTGCCTACAGTAAACAATACTGTATTGTGCACTTAAAATACTGTTAAGAGGGTAAGTCTCACATTATCTGTTCTTACAACAACAATAACAAAGGGGCACAAGAAAACTTTTGGAGGTAATAGATATGTCTATTGCCTTGATTGTGATGGTGGTTTCATGAGTGTATGCATATGTCCAAACTAACCGAATTGTATACATTAAATATTTGCAATTTTTAATATATCAATTATATCTCAACAAAGCTGTTTAAAAATGTCATCGTCATACTCAAGGTCATCAAGGTTTTCTCGTATGTTATATTCCAGGAGTTTTCTAATTTTGCATTTCATATTCAGGTCTATCAGCCATTTTAAGTTAATTTTTGTGAAGGATGTAAGGTCTGTGTCTAGATTCAGTTTTTTGCATGTGGATGTTCATTTGTTCCAGCACCATTTGTTGAGAAGACTATCTTTGCTCCATTATATTGCCTCTGTGCCTTTGTAAAGATCAGTTGACTATATTTATGCAGGTATATTTCTAGACTCTTTATTCTCTTCCAATGATCTATTTGTCTATTCTTTTGGTAGTATCACACCACCTTGATTACTGTAACTTTATGGTAAGTCTTGAGGTTATGTAATATCAGTCCTCTGACTCTGTTCTTCTCCTTCAGTATTGAGTTGGCTATTCTGAGTCTTTTGCCTCTTCATATAAACTTTAGCATCAGTTTGTTGATATCCACAAAATAACTTGCTGGGATTTTGATTGGGATTGCATTGAATCTGTAGATCAGGGTGGGAACAACTGATATCTTGACAATATTGAGTCTTTCTATCCATGAACACAGAATATCTCTCCATGTATTTAGTTCTTCTATGATTTCATTCTTCAGAGTTTTGTAGTTTTCCTCATACAGATCTTGTACATATTTGTTAAATTTATACTTATGTACTTCATTTTGGGGGTGCTAATATAAAATATATTGTGTTATTAATTTCAAAGTTCACTTGTTAATTGCTGGTACATAGGAAAGCGATTGACTTTTGTATATTAACCTTATCCTCTAACCTTGCTAAAATCAATTATTAGTTCCAGGAGTTTTTTGGTCTATTCTTTCAGATTTTCTACATAGACAATTATGTCATCTGTGAACAAAGAGAGTTTTATTTCTTCTTCCCAATCTGTATCCCTTTTATATTCTTTTCTGGTCATAATGCATTAGCTAGGAATTCCAGTACAATGTTGAAGAGTAATAGTGAGAGAGGACATTCTTGTCTTTTTCCTGACCTTAACATAAAGCTTCTAGTTTCTAACCATTAAGTATGATGTTAGCTGTTGGGTTTTTGTAGATGTTCTTTATCAAGTCAAGGAAGTTCTGCTCTATTCCTTGTTTGCTGAGACGACTTTATTCTTTTGCATGTGGATACCCAGTTGTCCCAGCATAGTTTGTGAATAGATAAGATTTTCAATAAACGGTGATTGAATTCCAGTCAGTGGAATGTGAGTGGGAATAATATGAGCATTTCTTGACCAAGGATTTTAAGAAGCGGACTACCTTCTAGGTAGTCCTAGGTAGGGTGGGTGGACTACCTCTACTCTTTTTTTCCCATTTTGCTGGCTGGAGACGGGCTATGATGATGCCCTATCCATCATAGTAAGGGAGTAACTGATGGTTAGGTAACAAGAAACATAACAAAAGGTACTCTGGACTTCTCATTTATTTTTTATATTTTGAATAGTAATTTGACATTCAATTAATTGTCAGTATTTGCTGGCATTGTGGAAATTCAGGATTTCTTCTCCCTGCAAAGCTAATAACCTCACCTCACCAGTCCCTTTAGTTCTAGAAATCTTCAAGGGGTATTTCCCAGGTCCTGAATTTTGATGGGTTTCACATGATTTTTCTCGGTATTGTTGCCACACTAAGCTTTACTGTCAAGCATTTAAGTCTGTCCAACTGTTCCCTCTAATTTTCCCAACCACTACCCATACCAAGTCTTCATGATAGCACAGATGAGTGTAATCTAAACTTTAAAGCCATGTTGGACAGGAGGATGTTCTCCTCTCTTTGGGTTACGCTTTATAAATGGGATCTGCATTCCAGAGAGTTACAGAGTTTATTTGCAAACAGTTCTTTCTGGGATAACTTATGAACCTGTGTTTGTTGTGACAGACATGCCGTTGAGGTCATATGTTAGAACAGGCACAAACAGGAGTCCTAATCCCAGTGCTGCCATTAGAATAGCTATATTCCTCTAAAGACAAGGCGTTGTTCCTGGCCTGAGGTCATTTTGCCTGCCTCTTTTTTCCCTCAGGATGAATTTACTTAAAGCAGAACCCACCCCAAATATGACTTGAGAATATTCTTGGGTCAGGCCTCCCCACAAGTTCTCCAGATGTGCCTTGTCTCAAGTAGTAGACACAGGTTGAGGTCTTTCCCAGAGGCTCTTCACCCTCTACTGAAAGTAGACATCTGTTGAGCCAATTTCATCAGTTAGTTCACAAGAACCCAACCAGCCTGCTTGGTCCCAACTGCAAGAGACTTGAGTTCCTGTGTAAAGCTCCTGAAACTCAGGGATAGGAGAATGAATACATTCTAAGAATGCACACAGTTTGGCTCAACCTTGGACAAAAGGGAGATCCCAGAAAGAAAGTTTGCCTGAGGCACGTGAAATACAGAAGAGAGGCAAATTAAGCTAAATGGGCAAAAACAAGTCCATGACCAGGATGATTGAGAGAGACAAGAAGGGATCATTCGAGCTGCATAGGCAAAGGATATGCTAGTGTGAAATCTCACATGCATGTATGTGGGAGGTGGGAGTGGGGTTGGGGCAGAGCTGTCGGTATGATGAAGCAGCACAGCTGTTTCTGTATCCCAGGCTTAATGACTGGGGGTTATTTGGTTCTGAAACTGTTCCATAGGTCCCGAGTTTATTGATGGTAGCACCCTCAGTTAGGAATGCCTGTGGGGGATGTGGGGGAGAAAAGGAACCTGGGGCTCTGTCTTTATTAGGGTCTGAGGGTGGGGAGCCTAGGGTTCCGCAGATTCACTCTTTATTGGCTAATTTAAAGCATAAGAGCTGGAAGTAGGGCACAGGAAGGACAAAGCAAGAAGAATCAGCCAAAGGCTCAGTTATCTAGGTTACCCAGGGCTTTCTGAAAGATGGAACTTCATGGGTGAGGGTGGCCTAGTTCTTTGTCTGGTTGTTGTGCTAGTAGCTATGTCTTACAGCTGGCAATATGTTTATTCAAGGTGGATGTCTTTTGAAATGGATGACTTGGTAATCAAAAGCTTAATGTCAGGCACTTCCACTACAGAAATGTAGATTTCAGAGGCTAGTCAGGGTTACACAGGTGCTAATGGAGACACTAGGGAGTGGAACTATGGCTGTTACAATCAGACTGGAATCCATTTTAGGATGAAGTAAATAGACTATTTCTTAGCAGTCAGACGGACATAGGTCAGCATCCTGTTTTAATCTTGTATTTGCTCTCTAATTTTAAACATGACACTTAACCTATCTATATATACACATAGAAACAACACGTAAAGAGCTTAAAATACGACTTTTCTCAGTTCAATAAATGTTAATCAGCAATAGTGCCTGTTCTGTAAATGAACTGAGAAAAAATTGTTCAACAGATATCTCAAAGTCTCACAGTAAAATCAGTCAACTTTTGGTAGATCCACTCCCCTGTCAGCAAATATCTTGGAATCAACATCCCAGCACCACAAGAATTACCAAAGAAGCTTGAGCTGGTTTGACTGTGTTACCACACAAAGGGCACAATCTGCTGGCCGCGAGACAAAAGCCAATCGTCAAGAGGCAAGATGGTGGAAAAGAAAGGGCAATTTATTACAGCTTGCTAGCAAGTGGGAAGATGGCCAACTAACGTCTCACAGAACAAAGACTACAGGCCACGTATATAGAGGGCTGGTCTCGGAGTGGGGGAGGCATCTGGTCCCAGGGTGGGGGCATCCATCTGATTACTGGGTGGAGGCATCTGGTCTCAGGGTGGGGGCATCCATCTGGTCTTAGTTCCTGGCAGTCTTTTGTTTTACTTGATATGCATCAGAGACTGGAGCAATGCCCTATACCTTGATCTCTCAGTTGTCATTGATGATGGCTATCAGCATAGACTCTCTGCCCGGGGGTCATCACATCACATTCCTAAGGAACACAAAAGAACAAAGTTATCAACATGTAGCAGCTGGGAAGGCCCATAAAGTCCAGAGTTAGTCAGAGGTCATTCCAAGTCACAAGATGATTTCCCCTCTACAATATGGCTTTCCTTATGTCAACCCTGTATTGAGCCGGTATCAAATGTAAACTGTTAAGGATAGGAAATTTAAAAAAAATAGAAAACACAAGTGAATGTAAGCTGCACGAGAATAGAAATTTCGTTCTGTTTTGTTTCTACTGCATCCCCAGTGCCTAGAACAAAGAAGGTACTCAATACATACTTGTTGAAGGGATGACAGACACAAGTAACTTTAAGAAAGAGAAGAAAGCAGTTCAGGGAGCCACAGAGATCCACATACATCCACAGATCCCAGCAGAGCTCAGACTCCCTTCCTCAAGCCTGGCAGTAGCCCAAGAGAGTATACTTTGGAACAAAGGAAAAAAAGTCCACAATTCAGCAAAGCCTATTTAAATAGTACAGTAAAAGAGGCCTTCCTCTGAAAATTGACATCCATTGTCTCCACATACTGTATAGAATCGTCTCCAGATTTTTTTTTCCTGTCACCAAAATATTGCAGTTATAATAAATATCTAAAAACAAATAAAAGCTGATATGTAAATTCATGGTAAGAATATGATTCCCTTTTCACCCTGAAAAACATCAGTGATTTTTAGCAAATAGCGACTTTCTCCAAGTAAGCCTCAAAGACCACTGCAAAACTCTCTTGTTTAGAAAACGGAGAGAAGAGGATTGCTGGAGAGGGTGGTTATAGTGGTGAGAGATGAGCCCCAAAATTGATCCTCCCAGGAGCTGAAGCCCAAGTAAAGAAAGTCAAGGGGAATGGACTTTATCAGGATGGTGAGTGAATTTGGTTCCTACTGCTGCTGTAACAAATTACCACAATCTTGGTGGCTTAAAATAACAAAAATTTATTATCTTACTGTCCTGGAGGTTGGAAATCTGAAAAGGGTCTCACTGGTCTAAAATAAAGGTGAAGGCGGGGCTTCATTCCTCCCAGGGGTTCTGGGAAGAATCTGTTTCCTTGTGTTTTCCAGCTTCTGGGGGCTGCCTGCATTACTTGGCCTCTGGCTTCCTTCCATCTTCAAAACCAGCAAGGGACCTGTGGGCCTGTCAAGTCGGTCTCATGCTACTTCACCGTCACACTGATTATTCTGCCTGCCTCTTCCACATTTAAAGTACCCTTGCAATTGCATTGGCCAGGATAATCCAGTGTAATCTTATTTTAAATTCAGGTGATTAGCAATTGTGGGGGAAGAGGGAGAATCCCCCTCTGCCCTTTCCCTTAAGGTTCTTATGGCTGGCCAAATAATTAACAAGACAGGTTAGCAGGAGAAAATAATACCCAGTTTAATAACATGTATACATGGGAGAAATGAGGGAAACTGCGTTTCTCAACACAATAGCAGAAATTCTCGTCTTAAATACCATGTTCAGCTAAGGACAAAGGAGGATGTTGGGGGTGGGGGGAGTCAGTTACAGGAGATTACCACTAAAGCACAGTAAACAG